GCGCCCAGGCCTAGAGTTCAAGCCCTGTGACCAACAAAAACAAAAAAATAAATGAACTGTCTTTAAGAAAAACAAAGAGGAAATTTTACAAGCTTTATTTTTTAATAATATAGTCAAGGGCTGGGAAGGTGGCTCAATGGTAGAGCGCTTGCCCTACATGCCTGAGGCTCAGCACCACATAAGCAAAAAGAAAAAAGCAGGAAGTGGTGCTGTGGCTCAAGTGATAGAGCGCTAGCCTTGAGCTGAAGAGCTGAGGGACAGCGCCCAGGCCCAGCGTACAGACTCCACGAACAGACCCAAAAAAATAAAATAATATAGTCAAGTAGGAGGTAGGGTTGGCAGGACTGAGGCTTTGAACTCAAGGACTCATGCTTGGTTTAGGTTGGTACTTTACCGCTGAGGTAGAGTTATTCCCCACCCCCTTTTTTTTCAATGTAGTGGGGCCTGAACTCTGGGCTCGGGCACTGTTCCTCAGCTCTTCAGCTCAAGGCTAGCATGCTACCACTTGAGCCTCACACCACATCTGGTTTTCTGGTCGATTACTGGAGATAAGAGTTTCATGGACTTTCCTGCCTGGACTCATTTTGAACCTCAATTCTCAGCTCTCAGCCTCCTGAGTATCTAGGATTACAGGCATGAGCCACCGGCATCCTAGCTACTCAGGAAGCTGAGATCTAAGGATCACGAAGCCAGCCCAGGCAGGAAAGTCCAGGAGACTCTTATCTCCAGTTAGCCACCAGAAAACCAGAAATGACACTGAGGCTCAGGTGGTAGAGTACTCGACTTGATCTGAAGAGCTTGGGGACAGTGCCAGACCCAGAGTTCAAGCCCTACAACCACCAAAAAAAGAAAAGAAAAGAAAAATGAAGAATCTAGGGCCAGACTATTGTAGAATATGATGAATACACTGTTCTGTATGTGAAAAATGATGAGGATAAGACAGCAATAGTAGTTAGCTTGAAAACATAGTTTGCAGCTGTCAGGGTTCTCTCTGGTAAAACCAAGTTCTTTACTGCTGTCAATATTATAGTTTAGCTGAGGAACCAGAAATGTACCCAAAGCAACAAAGAATGAGATTCATATCATAAGATTACATTTTTTTTTGCCAGTCCTGAGACTTGAACTCAGGGCCTGGGCACTGTCCCTGAGCTTCTTTTGCTCAAGGCTGGCACTCTACCACTTGAGCCATAGCACCACTTCCAGTTTTTCTGTTTATGTGGTACTGAGGAATCGAACCCAGGGCTCCATGCATGCTAGGCAAGCACTGTACCACTAAGTCATATTCCCAGCCTACATAAGTTTGTTTTAACTTAGACTTGCAGTAAAAATGAGTCCCCCAGAAAAGAATGAAATATATAATCAACTTGCAAGGTGATTATCTTTTAAAAATCAAAGCCAGTCGTGCAGGAAAGTTTGTGAAACTCTTATCTCCAATAAACCACCAGAAAGCAGGAATGCCACTGCACTCTGGCTCAAGTGGTAGAGCGCTTACCGTGAGCTGAAGAGCTGAGGGATAGTGCCCAGGCCCAGAGTTCAAGCCCCATGACAAAAAAAAAAAAAATCAGGTGCTAATACTAAATGATGTTATATTAATAAATTAGGTGCTAGGATGGTCACAGAAGTAGAGAGCTTGAGCATCTATAGCAAGGTGAGCAGGAAATCCTGAAAGCTTATTGAGTATCCTTCACAATGCATTTAGCTTGCCCTTAGCCAAGTGAGGTTACTAAAGTATTAATGAGGCAATATTTTTTCTATTTTAGAACCACTTCTAATCATGAAAAAAGATAGGGAAGCCACCATATCTTGTTGCTTCTTAGTAAATTGGTTAAAGTTTCCAAGCCTAAAATCAAAAACAACAAAGTAAAGGGAGCAGTCTCACATCTGTTAGTGTTAGAAAAACTTAGCATACACTGAAACACACCATGGTCAACAAGCCAAGGGTAGGTTTTAAAGAAGCATGAAAATGCGCCGGGCGCTGGTGGCTCACGCCTGTAATCCTAGCTACTCAGGAGGCTGAGATCTGAGGATCGCGGTTCAAAGCCAGCCCGGGCAGGAAAGACCTTGAGACTCCTATCTCCAATAAACCACCAGGAAACCGGAAATGGCGCTGTAGCTCAGTGGTAGAGCAATCGCCTTGAGCTGAAGAGCTGAGGGACAGCGCCCAGGCCCAGAGTTCAAGCCCCACGACCGACAAAAAATAAAATAAAATAAAGAAGCATGAAAATGGCCTTGAGAGAGGTGTGTTCCCCAGTGTGATTTTGGACCTGCTCAGGCAGGAAGTGAGGGAGACTTGGATATACTTTTTATTTTCTGTTTCTGGAGATGGAACTCAGGACCTCATACCTATTATGTAAGCACTCTGCCATTAAGATACACTCTTTACCCTGTTGGATATTTATTAATGCTTGGTTTCTGTTTATGGCAAATAAACATGATTTTTCATATGAGTCACTGACATTCCCTGTCTCTGAAAAATGTATTTAAAGAGTAGGGATATAGCCCTGAACTATATCCCTAGCGTGCCCTTAGCACACTGCCTACCTCCGTGAGGCAATCTTGGGAAATGTACTCAACAGTAACATTGACTGGCCACGAGCTGGTGGCTCATATCCATAATCTGAGCAACTCAAGAAGCTGAGATCTGTGGATCTCAGTTCAAAGTCCAGCCATCAAAAAGTTGGGGTGAGCTGGGTGTCAGTGGCTCACACCTTAATCCTAGCTACTCAGTCCACTGTGATCTGAGGATCACAGTTCAAAGCCAGCCAGGGCAGGAACACTTGTGAGAATCTTCAGTTAACCACCAGAAAACCAAAAGTGGCACTGTGGCTTAAAGTTATAGAGTGCTAGCCTGGAACAAAAGAGCTCAAAGATAGCCCAGGTACTGAATTCAAGCCCTAGTACAAGCACAATGAATTTTACAAAACAAACAAAAAAAATTGACTGTATGCATATATTAGGCTAACAGTGCATAGCAGTGAAAAAATAGAAACAAAATGTGTTTATTGTGTCTGTTCAGTCAAGTGAAAATAAAATGTAGAAAGGAAGATCTTGAAATAAAGAGACAAAAACATGCTTCCTTTAGAGGTGGGCACAAGGTGTGTCAAAAGAAGGTGTCTACTCTGAAGGGTATTGAGTCTGAATTTGAGAATCAGTTCTGGCCTTCATAAGACCTTCTAGGTCCTTGGCATCTTTCCACTGTTCAGAGTTTACCCTTTGTGTCCACCCACCCATCTTTCCTACTCATCCTGGACCCTGCCAGCTCTACACTTTCCCCATGTCCATCTGGGCCCATCATGATCACATGAGCTCTCTGATGACCTCTACTTCTAACTTAGTGACATTAATAGGCAGTGCTGTGGATAGAGGTCTTTGTGCCATGCTTCACTCAGCATGTGTTCTTTTTTTTTTTTTAATTGGGAATTTTTTTTTATTGTAAAGATACTATACAGAGGGTTACAGTTACATGAGTGAGGTAATGAGTACACTTCCTCTTGAACATTGTTACCCCCTCCATTGTTTTCCCCCTACCATTCCCTCCCTCCCTTCCCCGAGGTTCTTTTTTTTTTTTTTGATTGTGATTAAGTGATTACATAATTTCCGGAAATTCACAGTATTGTGGAATAATGATGCTCATTTAAAGTCACAAGTTCATTCTAACTTTCCTGAAGCAAATTGTCTATCACAGTCTGTAATATATAACGGTGCTCACATGTTATGCACCATATATGTGATCAGCAGCATGGGGATATTTAGTAGTGGTTCAACCAGATGAGCAGGAGTTCTTTGTTTCTTAAGTCCTGTTAGTTTTGTCATATCACCTAACATTTTGGATTTAGCATCCACTTATCAGGGAGACCATGTACCGTTTGTCTCTTCGCTCTTGGCTTACTTCGCTCAACATGATTCCTTCTAGCTCCATCCATTTCCCTGCAAATGCCATTATTTTGTCATTTCTAATGCTGCATAATATTCCATTGTATAGATACCACAATTTTTGGATCCATTCATCTGTGGTGGGGCATCTAGGTTGTTTCCATATCCTAGCTATTGTGAACAGTGCTGCAATAAACATGGAGGTGCACGTGTCCTTGTATATTGGTTCCTGTTGTTCAGGGTAGATGCCTAGAAGTGGTTTGACTGGGTCGTAAGGGAGGTCAATCTTTAGCTTTCTAAGGACCCTCCAGACTTCAGCATGTGTTCTTACTGGTTATACTTCTGCATAACTGAACCAGTATTCGTGTTTTACTCCATTTTTTTATAATGATAGATGCAAAGCCTGGGTCCCTGGGAGAGGAATCTGCAGCATCAACATCCAGAGATGAGAGGCACCTTTGACCCAGGAACTTGTCAGTGGGAAGTAACACAGACACAGCATTGTCAATACCTGTGGCATTGACAGTCTCAAATTGCTGGTAGTTGTCAATCTCTCTGTAGTTGGATGAAGTATACCAACTCATTTTACTTCCAGATTCAGAAGATTCTGGGTTCCACTAGGATGAGCTCATTGCACATGGACAAGTGCAGCCTTATTATACTCCCCTCTCCCTTCCTTCACCTGCTCACTCAGTCACTGTGATTGAAACTGTATTGAACTATGTACAGTACCACCTGAGCACATGCATTACCCAGTCTGGATCTGAGAAATGACTATGTGTGCGTGGGGGGACCATGCGCACTCACGGTTTTCAACATACAAAAGGTGGATGGGAGTGACCAGGGCCAGGGAATCCCAAGGTGTCAAGTCAGGAAGCCTTCCCAGAGGCTCAGGGCTTCACTCAGATATCCATTCTAACGTTGGCTGTTTGCCACCAATCACCTTGTCTTCTGATTACAGAGGAAAGATAGGTTGAATTCTGGTGAGCCAAATTTTTAAATAAAAAGAGACTTAATTTTTCTTCATTAGTCCTTGTAGAAGTCAAGAGTTTGTTTCCTGAGATCAGCGGCCTCTTGTACTCTCTGAGTCTGTTCTAACCCCCGATGCCTTGTCCTTCTCTTGGCAGTAATCCAGTCCCTCATAGCACTGGTGAACGATCCCCAGCCCGAGCACCCCCTCCGGGCTGACCTAGCTGAAGAATACTCTAAGGACCGTAAAAAATTCTGTAAGAACGCTGAAGAGTTTACAAAGAAATATGGGGAAAAGCGACCTGTGGACTAAAATCTGCCGTGAACGATTCCAGCAAGTGTGAACAGAGACCCCGAGCAGTGCATTCAGACACCCCGCAAAGCAGGACTCTGTGGAAAATTGACATGTGCCACCGCCTGGCGTTCGCTTGTGGCAGTTACTAACTTTCTACAGTTTTCTTAATCAAAAGTGGTCTAGGTAACCTGTAAAGAAAGGATTAAAAATTTCATATGTTCTAGTTCTGCTTTCTTTGTTTTAAAAATCACTGCTTCAATCTACTTCAAAAGAATGGTGTTTCTTTTCCTGTCCAAATTTACCCCAAATCTTCAAGTTAGTCCAGAAGGTTGGGAAAAAAAAAAAAAAAAGGTTGTGGTTCCTTTTCCTCTCCTGCCCTTGCAACTCCTACTTTCTTGCATTTAGTTTATTTTTCAAGTAATTCACTTCCCCAGGCCCAAGTCTTATTGCCTCCCTCTACAAAGTGGCAGTGGTGACTTTTCTTCTGTCACACTGCCCTGTGGGAGCTGGTTCAGACTTTTCCTGATACCAGTTTATAACATCCTTTTAAAAAAAAAAATGACAATACAAGCAAACATCCACACTCCACGCACATACCTCCTCTCTTTAAAAAATAATAACTAAAAAAAAAAAAAAAAAGAAAGGCCACCCAAAGAGAAGCCCAGCTCCTGTATAAAATTTTGGTTGTTTCCACAGTACTGTGGATTGAATGGGCAAAAGCTCCACTGTTTGTATGTGGCCAGGTCTGTGGTGATCCTGGAGTTAGGGCCTGCCAGTTGAGGATGCTGTGCACTTGTGTGATGAATTTCTCACCAGAAAGTTCTCAAAGGTCAGCATCCCTTCATGCAGCCATGTTAGAAGATCCACTGGTCATCATAAAGCAAAAGCCAGAATATTCTTTTGAAGTTCCAAGCTCCTCTACCATCTGAATGTGCCACAGAGCTCTCCAACTCAGTGCGGCAGTCCCACCACAGCCCTCCCTTGGCAGATTTGACCCTTTGCAGAATTGGAATTGGTAGAACTCGGCTTTGTGGCCAGCACCAGTCTGGGGTCGCTCGGGTTCCTACTGGCCTTTTCCTTCGGAGCAGCTGCCAGCCCAGCCCAGGAACAAGATGGCCTTCCCTCTCTTTGGACTCACAGCCTTTGCAGAGTCAAGCTCCACTTGAAGCTCACTCAATACCCTTTCAATGTGTTTTATATTGTTTTGATTGCCTTTTTTTTGTAGAAATAAAAATTGACCTTAGAATTTATCATCAGATGAACTTTGTAAGGAGTTGAATGTTAATGTCTTTTCAAAGCAAGTGGGACTATCCCTGAAACAGTAGCAAATACAATGCACTCTGATACCCTGCGGAAGCTGACAAGCATTCGCCTACCCCTGTATCACCAACTCTGCTTCTACCACTGGCGGCTTCCCTTCTCGGCTTGTGGGGAGACTAGATCCTGTGGAGAAGACAACTTCCAGAAACTTTACTCTGTTTTAACTTTAGTTCTAGAGCTTGAGGTCTTCCTGGCTCACAGATGTGTAAGACAGCTTTGGGTTTCATCTGTGCAGAAGTAAGAAGTTTTGTGGGTCAGGCAGCATAATACTGCCTCAAGCACGCAGCCCCACAATGTGGAAATGAACTCAGCTTCTTTAGTCCTAGATACGCGAGGGGGGGGGGGCAGGTTACTGCAGATTCCCATGTTTCCAGTTGGCAAGAGCACTGGACTAGCATTTCCACATCTTTTGTCTCCACTAGCAGAAAAGTGATCATGGATTTTATTTCACTCACATTCAGATTTGTAATAAAATGCCAAATTCTGTCAGAAGCTATCTAAACAAGCCACCATTTGTTCTCGTTACTCCTTCAAATCTAGAAATATTGCCATTCCTGGAACTCCTGTTGCTTCACATTTCTGCCAACTTAGCTCTGCCTGCCTGACACTCCCTCACGGCTCTTTGTCCCCCACAGGAGGGCACCGCTATGCCGGCAGCCCCTCAGGGACTCTTGTCTTCCCTGGCAGCAGAGGCCTGGCTTTGGAGTCAGTGCAGTGGGTATCCCTCCCTGGGCCTGGGTGTCCTGGACTCCTCTCAGCCTTGCCCTTGGTTAGGCTTTGAGCAAGCTGGTGGCAGCTCCAGCTGCTCCAAACCCTAAAAGCTGGATCCTCCAGAGAAGGGGCAAGCTGTGGAGCAGCCATCCACCACTGACCCGTGCTGCCTCAGGAATTCACATCTGCCTGGTTCCTTGAAGTGCCCTAGGTCCTCGCCCTGCCCCCTCCACAGTGGCGGAGAATAGGCTTTCTTCTAAGATGCTGCGAACCCATTCTGCTGCCCTTAATAAAAATGCTCTCCAACACTGGCTTGGTCATGTTGCCTTCTTCCTTTAGGGGTGGGCATTATCAGGGCCTTGGACACTGGGAAGGGGTGGCTGGGCCTCTAATCTCTCCTTCCTAACCCCAAAAAGGAGCATAAGCAGATGGGTGAAAAGCAATGATATAAACCACTTTCATTTAGCAGAGGTGAAGACTCTCTGAGAAGGGTGGCTTGATCAAGGTCCTTAACTAAAAAAAGGATGTGTGATTGAGGGTGGGGCTGGGCTAATTCCCTGAAGGATTCTAGCCAGAAACAGTTCAGAATCCCTAGGATAGCTGGCACTGCCAGCAGTAGGGCTGACTCAGACAGACCAATGAATACTTTTGGTCAGACCAGGTTTTCTACTTGGAACTGGCCACTAGATGAGACCACATCTGCAGATCTTAGGGAGGGAAACTTCCTAGTGTGTCATTTTTACCAGGGGGAAAAGAAAGGTCCTTTCATTTGATCATAGATGGGTTCTGCCACACACACATTTTTGTCCTCTTTAGTCCCAACACACTGCTGTGAGAACCTTAAATTACATAGGCTCCAGATAATGGCCAAGGACACCTGGCTGTGTTTTTACACTTAATCACAGTATGGTCCTACCAATCAAATACTGCCTTCCTGGGGATCCCTGTGTGTCTAGACCTAGCTACAATTTCTCCACTAAAGTCAGAGGCCTGAAAAATCTTCAACTACCTGTTTTCTAAATCTTGCTATTTTCTGGCCTTCACATTCCAACAGTTTAGAGGGGGGTTGGGTTGGTCGGGATTTTTTGTCATTTAGTCAGTCATGGGACTTGAACTCCAGCACCGACCTGGTTTGGTTTTTTGTTTGTTATTTGTGTGTGTGTGGGTGTGTGTGGGTGTGTGTGTGTGTGTGTGTGTCGGTCAGGGAGCCTGAACTCTGAGCCTGGACACTGTCCCTCAGCTCGGTTCAAGGCTAGCACTTTACCACTTGAGCCACAGTGCCACTTTTGGCTTTTTCTACTTTTGTGGTGCTGAGGAATTGAACCCAGGGCTTCATGCATGTGAGGCAAGCACTCTACCACTGAGCCACCTGAAGTAGAGCTCTGGCTCAAAGTGGTAGAGTGCTAGCCTTCAGTTAAAAAGCTCAGGACAGTGCCACCTTCCCAGCCCTGGTTTTTGATATTTTGAGAGGGTTTCAATACATAGTACATGGTGACATTGAACTTGACATCTTCCTGCCTCAGACTTCTGAGTGCTAGAATTATAGGTGAGTGCTATCACACTTGTCTTTTCTTCCCCAGTTTATTGTTTAGAATTAAATAAGCATTTAGTTCATGACTTTGGTACCAATTAGATACTGGCTTGTCACTCTTATATATTGAAGCCCCTTTTGGACATAGGACTCACAATTACCTCACTGCCAAATGAGCAACTTCTGAGCCCTTCTCTGACTTTCATTTAGCAGTGCATCTGTGCCCACATACGCTATTCAACCCAGTCAAAGAGGAAGCCAGAGCTGATACTGTTTTTTTTTCCTGCCTGGCTCTATCTAGTCTTTCTTCCTGCTTGAGCCCACAGTAAAGCCAGGACAAGGGACTGTTTCATTACAGCCCAGTGCCTGGCTGGTCCAGGCCACACTTGATAAAATAACCATTACTTGATTGGTTAGAACAAGTTCCTTAGGACTCCTGGGAGAGCCCTGAGGATCAGGGAAGTAAGCCACTTCTGGAGAATCTTCCTGACAGGGTTAGGGATGTCCATGTATAGACCTCACACATGACTATAGGTTCCCCCGTGTACTGGTTCCCCAGTAGATCACACTGGCCGTTACTGTGTTGGCCAGGCTGGATTCTGGCAAAAGCAGACCTTCCATGCATGAGGACTGGAAGTTTGGAATAACAGTAAACCATTTGTCTAAGTCATTTACTGTGTGCAGAGGACTCCTCATAATATGCTCATACTGGAGGCACTTGTATAGCAAATATAATCCTAGAGTTCAAACCCTAGTACCCCCCCCCAAAAAAAAAGATCTGGCTTTGTGTGTATGTGCACACGTGTGCATGTGCCAGTCATGAGGCTTGAACTCAGCCGGGATACTGTCCCTGAGCTCTTCAGCTCAAGGCTAGTGCTCTATCACTTGAGCCCCAGCACCACTTCCGGTTTTCTAGTGGTCAGTTGGAGATCATGAGTCTCACTGATTTTCCTACCCAGGCTATGAACCGCGATCCTCCGATCTTAGCCTCCTGAGTAGCTAGAATTACAGGCATGAGCCACTAGCACCCAGTTTACTGACTTTTTGTTGTTGTCAGTAGTGGGGCCTGAACTCTGGACCTAAGTACTGTCCCTCAGCTCTTCAGCTCAAGGCTAGCACTCTACTGCTTGACTTTTTTTTTGAGTTCATTGGAAGAAGTCTCACAAACTGGATGCTGGTGGCTCACGCCTGTAAACCTAGCTACTCAGGAAGCTGAGATCTGAGGTTGATGGTTCAAAGCCAGCCTGGGCAGGAAAGTCCCCATGAGACTCATCTCCAATTAACCACCAGAAAACCAGAAATGGAGCTGTGGCTCTAAGTGAGAAGAGTGCTAGCCTTAAGCAGAAAAGTTAAGGGACAGTGCCCAAGCCGAGTTCAAGCCCCGTGACCAACCTTCCCTTCTCAAAAATATTTTTTTGAGTCTTAGAGACTTTCCTGCCTAGGTTGGCCACAAATCACAATCCTCCAATCTCACCCTCCTGAGTAGCTAGGATTATAGGCATGAGCCACCTGCTCAGCAGATGTTGCTTTTTGACAGTTAATTGGAGATAAGAGTTTCACAGTCTGGAAGTGGCGCTGTGGCTCAAGTGCTAGAGCACTAGCCTTGAGCACAGAGAGGCTCAGGGACAGAGCCCTGCCCTGCCCTGAATTCAAGCCCCAGAACCAAAGAAAAAGTTTCACAGTCACTAAATTTCTCATGCCCCCATTTTACAGACTTAGTGGTGGAAGTGGCAGAGTAGAGCTTTGAATTCTCATTCATTTATTTGACATTCTCTAAGTTCTGTCCTTAGATTCATTGTTTTTTTCCCCAGTGAGGTGAGCCTTGTTCACCTGATTCTCTTGCAAGTCTCCCCAATCCTGAATGTTCACAGTCAAAGAGCTATTCTTAGCCTCTCACTGCTGATCTCTTCTTCCTTCCCTTGGGTAGCCATTCCTGCAGCTCCCTCTGAGCATCTGTGCAGGCTCCTGTTTCCCCAAGTCTATCTTCTGCTTACCCAGTTTCTCTCCCAAACATCAGAGCCAGGTGCTGTCAGCTCTGAGCACTCCATAGCAGAATGCTTCTGTTGAGAGCTGCCTCTATGGCCATACCCTCCTGCCAGCCCCAGCCAGCAGCCTGCTGCTGTGACTAACCATCACTGCCACTAGATTGGCTGAAGCCAGGAGGCAAAGCCTAGATAACAGCAGGAACCAAACGTACAAGTCCTTTAAGCAGGAATAAGAAGTAGGAAGCCAGGCATCTGTGGCTCATGCCTATAATTCTAACTAAGGAGGCTGAGATCGGAGGATCACGGTTCCAAGCAGGCTCAAGCAGGAAAGTCCATGAGACTCTTATCTCCAATTAACCACCAGAAAACCAGAAGGGGTGTGTGGTTCACGTGGTAGAGTGTTTGCCTTGAGCTGAAGAGCTCAGGGACAGCACCCAGGTCCAGAGTTCAAGCCCCATGACTGACCCTTCCCTCCCTCCCCCCCCCAAAAAAAGTAGGAAAGGTACTCTTGTCAAAGTCAAGGGCAGGTTAGGAGGGAAGATGAGTATGGAACTAGAAAAGACAGAGCTGAAAGCCGGGCACAGGTGGCTCATGCCTGTAATCCTAACTACTCAGGAGTCTGTGATCTGAGGATCGAAGTTCAAAGCAAGCCCAGTTATAAAAGTCCCCATTAGATCTTATCTCCAGTAAATTGCTCAACAAGCCAGAAATAGTGCTGTGGCTCAAGTGGTAGAGTGCTAGCCTTGATCACTAAGAGGCTCAGGGACAGTCCCCAGGCCCTGAGTTCAAGACCCAGGAACTGCAAAATAAATAAATAAATAATGACAGAGCTGAAACCATAGTTCAGAGGTTGGAGGCAGGAAGGAGGTACAAGATCCGATTCATGCCTTCAGAAAACTACCTGTTCCTAAAGACTGCCGAGACTGAATAGTAGCCCTCTTGGCATCTGATCCCATATTTGATTCAGGCCAGGGGTTAATGTATATCAAATAAATGAATGATCATATTCAAAGCTCTGCTCTGTGACTCCTACCTATAAATCTGTAAATGAGGACATGAGAAATTAAGTAATCATGAGGTTCTTGTTTTTTGGGTTTTTTTTTTTTTTTTTGGTCCGGTCATGGAGCCTGAACTCTGGGCCTGGGCACTGTCCCTCAGCTTTTCAGCTCAAGGCGAGTGCTCTACCACTTGAGCCACAGCACCACTTCCGGCCTTTTTTTTTCTGCTTATGTGGTGCTGAGGAATCGAACACAGGGCCTCATGCATAAAGGCAAGGGCTCTACCACTGAGCCACCTTCCCAGCCCAATCATGAGGTTCTTATTTCTAGTTAACCATCAAAAAGCCAGACCTAGAGATGTGGTTGAAGTATAGAGTGCCAGCCATGATTGAAAAAGCTGAACAAGAGCATAAGGTCCTGAGTTCAAGCCCCAGTACCGACACCAAAAAAGAAAGAAATGAGACCTCCTTTTCCATCCTCCAGAGTGGGACGGAGGATTATGTCTAGAACTCCCTGTGAATTGCTTATTTGTTCCCTTCATCTCAGGGTTTTTGATCCATTAGACCTAAGAGTCCCTGTTGACAGGAACCATATTTGACCAAGTCCGGTGAGGAATCCCAGGTTTTTGTTGTTTTTTTTTTTGTCAGTTGTGGGCTTGAACTCAGGGCCTATTCACTGTCCCTGAGCCTCTTTGTGCTCAGAGCTAGCACTCTACCACTTGAGCCACAACACCACTTTCAGGTTTTGAGTGGTTAATTGGAGATAGAGTTTCACGGGGACTTTTCTGCCTGGGCTGACTTTGAACTTCAGACCTCAGATTTCAGCTTCCTGAGCAGCTAGGATTACAGGGGTGAGCCACTGGCACCCAGCTATCGGGTTCTTTTTTTTTTTTTTGGTCGGTCGTGGGGCTTGAACTCTGGGTTTGGACACTGTCCCTGCACTCTTCAGCTCAAGATGAGCGCTCTACCACTTGAGCCCAGTGTTACTTCCGGTTTTCCAGTAGTTTATTGGAGATAAGAGTCTCCTGGACTTTCCTGCCTGGGCTGGCTTTGAACCTCGATCCTCAGATCTCAGCCTCCTGAGTAGCTAGGATTACATGCATGAGCCATTAGTACCCGGCTGCTATCAGGTTCTTAATTCCACAGAAGATTGCCTGTCCTGGAAAAAAAACACTTCTACGAGCATGCAGTTTCTATGTAAACCTGTACCTTAGAAAGGCTAACAATGTGATCAACCTGATTTATTTTTGTCAGTTGTGGGTCTTGAACTCTGGGTCTAGACGCTATCCCTCAGCGCTTCAGCTCAAATCTAGTGCTCTACCATTTGAGCCACAGTGCCACCTCCAGTTTTCTGGTGGTTAATTAGAGGTAAGAGTCTCAGGCTGGCTTTGAACCATGATCCTCAGAACTCAGCCTCCTGAGTAGCTAGGATTATAGACATAAGTCGCCAGCACCTGCTGTGATCTTTTTTTTAAATAAAAATTGAGGTTACCATATCTCTCACAAAATTGAATAGTGAGATGACAGTCTCCTTCAGGTTACCATATGTCTCAAAATAGACTAGTGAGATGACACTTTTTTTTTTTTGTCGGTCATGGGACTTGAACTCTCGGCCTGGGCGCTGTCCCTCAGCTCTTCAGCTCAAGGCGAGCGCTCTACCACTTGAGCTACAGCACCACTTCCGGTTTTCTGGTGGTTTATTGGAGATAGGAGTCTCATGGTCTCTCCTGCCCGGGCTGGCTTTGAACCGTGATCCTCAGATCTCAGCCTCCTGAGTAGCTAGGATTACAGGCGTGAGCCACCAGCACCCAGCTGAGATGACAGTCTTATTCCTATCCCTTCCCCACCAAAAATTAAAAAACTGAAGCTGGGGAGGGGGTAACGCCGTTCTAAAGGAAATGTACTCATTACCTATGTAACTGTAATCCCTCTGTACATCATCTTTACAATAAGTTTTTTAATGAAGGTGGGCACTGGTGGCTCATGCTAGCTACTCAGGAGGCTGAGGTCTGAGGACAATGGTTCAAAGCCAGCCCAGGCAGGAAAGTATGAGATTCTCATCTTCAGTAAACCACCAGAAAATTGGAAGTGGAGCTGTGCCATAAAGTGGTAGAGCACTAGCCTTGAGTGAAAAGGCTCAGGGAACAGCTCCCAGGCCCTGAGTTCAAGTTCCATGACCAACAACAAAAAAAAAGGAAGTTTTGTTAGATGCAGTAGCATGTGCCTGTCCCAGCTAGTAGGAGGCTTGACTCCAGGAGTTCAAGTCCATAATGGGACCCCTCCCTAAGTCAAAATCCAAACACCTAAACATGAACAAAACTAGAATGTGGAGATGCTTTTGCTTATATTTTCGGAAACATTTTCTTTTTTGTTTTTTCTTTTGTTGTGCAAAGCAAGCACTCTACCACTGAGCCACCTTCCCAGCCCACTTCTGGCTTTTTCTGTTTGTGTGACACTGGGGAATCGAACCCAGGGCTTCATGCATGCTAGGCAAGCAATCTGCCACTAAGCCACATTCCTAGCCATGAAACATTTTCTTTTGGATTTGGTCCACAAAAGAGTTGCTCTATATCCAATCTTGTTTTTGTGAAAACCACCCAAGTCTGAAAGAAGCAATTATTCTTTTATTAACATAAAGTCTCTACCCATTGCCCCTGAGCAATCAGTTTTGACACTGCAACACGAATTGGCTCTGCAGGCCTTAGATCAAGATGTCACATACTGCAGGCAGGCAAAAGAGGCTGCCCAAGCACTAGTTATCACTCTGAGCCATATGAACACAAAGTTGGGCACAGAACTGACAGTGTTTTACCCTGGGAAGTCATAAAGATTGCTCTGAGGCCTGTTACCAGGCTGTACAAGAGCTTAATCTTGACCAGTTCCTCCACACTTAGGGGCATTGGTGCTTAGGCTGCTAGTATCAAGGTGAAGGCTCCAGGATAGGTTCCAGAGTTGGCTCACAAGGGATTCCTTCCTCAGCCCACTTGGAGTTCAGGTCATCAAGAGTAGAGAGTTGTATGCTATCCTGGGCAAGCTGGGTCTTCAGTGTAGGTTCCATGAGGACTTGGAGCTCATGCAGCCGCTCCCAAGAACAGGAGAAAGCATCGGGGCCCTGGCCACATCCCCCAAGTGGAGGCACACTCGGATAACCTGGGTGGACCATTAACTCGGCTGTCAGAGGCTGGCTCGCAGGAATACCTTCCAGGGCTCGTGCCAGGGCCTCCAGCACGCGTTGAGCAGACATGTGTCGGCCGCAAGTGCTCAGGCCCACGAAGGTGTCAGTCCACCTGTGAGTGCCAGGACAAGAACTGCAGCAAGGCGGGGCAGAACTTGAATGGGGGCAGCCAGTGGATGCTTGACCCATTTCCGGGTTAAGAAAGGGACACAGCAGACCAGGGACACATTCAGACCAACAGCCCTGAAGTCCCATGGGGCTGGGGGGGGGAGGGAGGAGTGACAGCGGGGAGAACCAGAGGACCGGAGTGGGAAGGGGTGCTCACCGCAGGCCGAGTCGGGAGAAGGGGCCCATGGCAGCTTGGGCATCGCGCTCCACTGTGCAGGCGAAGGCGTGCGCCGGTGTTCCCAGCCAAGTGCAGCTGCCTATGCCGCGTTCCACTGGTAGCCGTGTGAAGCGCACCCCGTAAGCGTGCAACACCTCAGCAAACACCTGGCACACGCCTGCTGGAGGAGCAGGTTTAGGAGGGGAGCAAGACTCCTCACCCCGGAGCAACGCCCCTTAAACATGGGAGGGAGCGTCAGTCCACGCACCTGGGAGCACGTGTACGTGCTGGTGGGCATCCACGTGCGTGGGGGACCTGCCCAGCAACTCCCGGAAGCGGCTCAGTTGGGCCTCTAGCTCCTCCCGCACCTGGGGGAAGAGGTACGGACACCTTAAGCTTCCAGATGAGCTACAGAGGGTCCCCTCTTTGTGCTACCATTGGGCTGGGCTTTGGGGGTCATCGTGCGCATCTTCCTGCAGGCGCGCCACCGCACCTGGGGCAAAGCTATGTCTCCGGCCGCTACTGCCTCCCGGAATCCCATCTTGCCAAGGAAGAAGCCTTCCGGGCTGAGCAGTGACGAGTTGCCGTGGAGGGCCGGGCCCACCGGGCGGCCCTCAGACAGGTTGGCGTGGAGGCCCGTGGGGATGCTGTACCTGCGGGAGGAGCTCGAGCGGGAGCACAGGCAGCCCCCAGCCTCCCCAGCCCCACCCGATCCTGTGAGGAGATCGTTCTCACCTGCGGGCCAGCTCCGCCGCGCTCTCTGCGGATGCGCCGTTGACCAATAGGGACACACTGGTCACGGTTCCTGCCAAGAAGGCCGCCAGGATGCCCTCATCGCGTCGCGGGCAGTAGCCAAAGTCATCCGCGGTGACTACCAGCTGCACGCGCGGCCAGGCCATGATCGCGGGGAACCCTCGGCCTGAGAGAAGCTGGACACCCCCTCAGCTAGCTAGGCCCCGCCCCGACGCACATGCCCAAACACGGTTTTGTTATTGCCATCTAGTGGTCCCGGTGAAGCACTGCAACCACACTGCCGACTGCCCTCAAGGCATCCCAGAACTTTCCTTGACTAGAAAGTGAAAATTGGAGAGAGGGAGAGGAGGGAGAGAGGGACGGGAGGGGGGGGGAGAGGTAGAATTAGAGCTTGAACGCAGAGCCTGGGTCTGTCCCTTAGCTTGTTTGCTCAAGGTTGGTACTCTACCACTTGAGCCACGGCTCCACGTCCAGCTTTTTGGTGGTTAAAAAAGTTTCACGGACTTCACTGGCTGGCCTGGCTTTAAAGCAGGCTACTCAGTCTCAGCCTCCTGAGTATCTAGGATTACAGGTGTGAAGAACCAGTGCCTGATCCCCTTTACTTACTTATTTTTTGTTGGTCATGGGGCTTGAACGCTGGATCTAGGCATTGTCCTTGAGCTCTTCAGTTCAAGGCAAGTGCTCTACCACGTGAGACACACCATTTCCAGTTTTCGGGTGGTTAATTAGAGATAAGAGTCTCACGAACTTCCCTGTTCAGGCTGGCTTTGAAACTGCAATCCTCAGATCTCAGCCTCTTGAGTAGCTAGGATTACAGGCGTGAGCCATCGACACCCAGCCCCTTTCCTTTTTTTTTTTTGTTGGTTGAGGGGCCTGAACTCTGGGTCTGGGCGCTGCCCCCCAGCTCTTCAGCTGTAGACCAGCTCTACAACCTGAGCCACAGCCCCACTTCCAGCTTTTTCTGCTTATGTGGTGCTGAGGAATCAAACCGAGGGCCTCATGCATGCAAGACAAGCACTGTACCACTGAGCCACCTTCCCAGCCCCCCTTTCCTTATTTTTATAGTAATATCTATATGTCTATATATCTTTATATGTCAATCTATATATTGATATATAGATATCTTTTTCATTTGGCTATTTTTATTTTGTCTAGTCGCTGGACGTTGGTAGCTCACACCTGTAATCCTAGCTACTCAGGAGGCTGAGGTCTGAGGATCACGGTTCAAAACCAGCCCAGGCAAGAAAAATCTGTGCGACTCTTATCTCCAATAAATGACCAGAAAACTGGAAGTTGCTCTGTGGCTCAAGTGGTAGAGCATTCTCCTTGGGCTGAAGTGCTCAGGGACAGTGCCCAAGCCCAGAGTTCAAGCCCCAGGACTGACAAAAAATTGTCTATTGTCTTTTGCTGATTTTTTTCTAAGCAGAGGTGCTTTTTTTTTTTTTTGGTCGGTGGTAGGGCTTGAATTCTGGGCCTGGGCACCATCCCTAAACTTTTCACTCAAGGCTAGCAAGCACTCTACCAATTTGAGCCACAGCACCACTTCTGGTTTTCTGGTGGTTAATTGGAGGTTAGAGTCTCACAGCTTTTCTCCCTTGATCCTCAATTCTCATTCTCCTGAGTAGCTAGCATTTATCGGCATGAGCCACTGGTGCCAGACATGAGTGTATGTCTTTTTGGACGATGTCACCCCTTTATTTGCTTTCCAATTATCCCCTTCCATTCCTGCCCATAAGTTACATAGTTCATTTTCCACATAGTATCTACTAAAAGGAAGCTTCCCCTCCCCACCTTTGATCAGTCATGGGGCTTTAATTCAAGGCCTGGGCTCTGTCCCTGAGCTCTTTTGCTCAAGGTTAGTGCTCTTCCACTTTGAGCCACAGCTTCACTTCTGGTTTTCTGGTGGATAATTGGAGATAAAAGTCTCATGGACTTTCCTGCCTGGGTTGACTTCAAACTGGAATCCTCAGATAATCAGCCTCCTGAATAGTTAGGATTACAGGCATAAGCCACCAGTGCCTGGCAGGAAACTTTCTTTTGTCTGTCTGTCTTTCTTTGTTTGTTTGCTTCTTTGTTTGTTTGTTTGTTTCTTCCTTCCTTCCCTTCTTTTTTTCTTTCTTTCTTTCTTTCTCTCTCTTTCTTTCTTCTCTTTTTTTCTTTTTCTTTTTGTCAGTCCTGGGACTTGAATTCAGGGCCTGGGCACTGTACCTGAGCTTCATTTGCTCAAGCTAGCACTCTACCACTTGAGCCACAGCACGGCTTCTGGCTTTTTCTCTGTTTATATGATACTGAGGAATCGAACCCATGGCTTCATGCATGCTAGGCAAGCACTGTACCCCTAGGCCACATTCCCAGCCCGCTTTTTCTTTTTTTTAAAAAAAATTTACTGTTATTATAGAGGTGATGTATAGAGGGGTTACATTTACATGAGTTAGGTAATGAGCAGATTTCCTTTCATACAGTGTCATCTGAGGAAGCTTTTTCTTTTCTTTTCTTTTTGTTGGTCCCTCAGCTCTTCAGCTCAAGGGTAGTGCTTTACCATTTGAACCACAGTGCCACTTCCAGTTTTCTGGTGGAGTCTCACAGATTTTTCTTGCCCAGGCTGGCTTTGAACCAAGGCCCTCAGATCTCAGCCTCCTGAGTAGCTAGGATTATAGGTGTGAGCTACTGGTGCCCGGCAAAGCTTTTGCTTAATAAAAACTGTAAGCAAGTAAATGAATGACCAGTTTGGGGCTGGCAAAGTGGCTTAGTGGTAGAGTACTTGCCTAGCATGCATGAAGTCCTGGGTTCTATTCCTCAGTACCATATAAACGAAAACATAAAACAAAATGAATGACCACTTATATAAATGGTTTCATCGAAGAAATCATTAGACCCTGTTTTTTATTTTTTTGTTGTTGTTTTTTGTTCGTTGTGGGGCCTGAACTCTGGGCCTACTGCTGTCCCTCAGCTCAAGCCTACCACTTGAGTGACAGTGCCACTTCCTGTTTTTTCTGCTTATGTGGTGCTGAGGAATTGAACCCAGAGCCTCATGCATGCAAAGCAAGCACTCTCTCACTGAGCCACCTTCCCAGCCCTAGACCCTGTTTCTGTCTCCGTTATGGGAAAAGTTACAACTTTTACAACCATAACCTTGCTTTTTGCCCTTTGTAAAAAAAAAAAAAAATCAAGCCGGGCGCTGGTGGCTCACACCTGTAATCCTAGCTACTCAGGAGGCTGAGATCTGAGGATAGAGGTTCAAAGCCAGCCCGGGCAGGAGAGACCATGAGACTCCTATCTCCAATAAACCACCAGAAAACCGGAAGTGGCGCTGTAGCTCAAGCGGTAGAGCGCTCGCCTTGAGCTGAAGAGCTGAGGGACAGCGCCCAGGCCCAGAGTTCAAGCCCCATGACCAACAAAAAAAAAAAAATCTTTCTTTGTCCATAAGTATTCTGATATCATGATGATAGGCAGTTTTTATTGTAATGTGGCTATCTTGATTTATATGGAAAGTGTGGCATTTATTTGGGCCCAAATATAGGATTTGTAGTCTCGCTCCCATTTTTACACAGATAATGAAACCGAGTCTAAAGAGCAGGGTGTGATCCTGCCAGTAGCGATGGAGCTGAGACTTTCTGCAGCTCTGGGCCTGTATCCCTTGTCTGATGGCCTGTATCCCTTGTCTGATCCCCTAAATCGGGGCAAAGAGGCAGAGTAGAATTATAAACAGCATCACTGGATCTTGTGAGGATTGGAGTCCTCAAAGGGCCTTTCAACCAAGATTATGGTTATAAAGATTGTTGTATTCCATCATAGTAATTGGAAAGGAGAAACTGACATTAAGTATCTCTGCATGCTAGGTAATGTGAAGATTAGAAATTAGGGACCAGTATCATCTGGTAAATAAATAAGTAAATAATATATGGAGCTTCTCTTACAGTTTTGTATTTTATGACGATTTTGTGTAATCCTCATACTCCCTCATAGAATAATGCTCAACCTTTTTCAGATGAGTCTATGCTCAGATTGAATCACACTAGCAAGAAACATCAGAGCCAGGTATTGAAGCTTAGTTTGTGCCTGAGAGCCAGGACCTGAAAGACTGGGGTTGTCGAGCTGGGTGTAGACTGGAAAGCAGAGTAGTGACCAGGGAGGAACTGGGCAAAGTGTTTACTGATGGAGGCCTTAGCTTTTGCCCTAAAAATGATCTGAGCCCCAGTTTCAAAACTCCCATCTGGCAGGACAAAGCAGCCCGTCAACCATTCTCAGTGGGCCTTCCGGAGCAAGGCGTGGCGGGGGAGGAGCCAAGAATGACCACACCCCGCCCATTGTGTCGGGGAAGCTAGTGGAAAAAGAGATGTTATTATCCAATCAGGACTCTGTATGTAAATGAGCAAGCAAGGGAGGCTGCCCTGCAATTCTAGTCATTCTATTCAGTCTGCGCGGATCGCTGGAACCTGATCCGAGCTCTGCGCGGCCCGGACACTGGTGAGGGTCAGAATGTCAGGGCGACCCTGGTCTGGGAGGAGTGAGGATTGGATACATACCCAGCCACGGGAACAGTCAGAAACAGGATTTGAATGTCCTCATGTTCCTCCATTGCGGCGACTCTGGAATGGGACAGTCCGCAGAGGCCTAGGAGCTTCTGAGCAAAGGAAGGGCTCTCTATGCACCCAGGACACAGGGTGCGGGAAACAAGGGCCCTTAGGGCATTGAAACAAAAAGGGAAAAACGAATAAGGTATTGGATCCATGAAGGACTAGACCAAACCTCATGCCATTTTCCTCCTCCCCTGCCCCCCTCCTCCCCCCCCTCACCAAAGGAGTCCTTGGCTGTGCTGCCAACCTAAGAGAGAGGAAGCAGGGAAGGCTTGTCTCCAAGCATCATGGCTAGCTACCACCGCCAGTCCGGATACCTGGCCGATGATGAGGCTGGCCACAGCACTTTTGTGGCACGGGTAAGTGTGTCCAGCAGACCACCATCTCCTTTCCCAGTTCCTATTGACTCACCTCACTTCACTCTTAGTGAAGTATGTAGGTAGTGTTGACTGCCTGCTGCATCTTGATCACCTTTGGTTTCCTATGGCCCTCTGACTCCAGCCACGCAGGAGGAGTTGGATGGAACTCAGCATTAGAGCATAGACAACCAAGGCCTAAGACTCAAGTTGGGTAGAGCAGGGTATCAGGGTCTCTTCGTTGCACA